TTGCAGCGCCAATCGAAGCTCCAGAATCGTTACTGGTGGTAAGGTACGAGCTGCCAAGCGTCTGCCTAGAAAATCCCAGAAAATCCCATACATGCTCGATGGGATTGAGATCCGGAGATCGTGCCGGCCAATCCATATGTTCAATATCCTCACTCTCTAAGAGCTGTTCGGCAGCTACTGTGCGATGACATGGTGCATTGTCGTCCATGGAAAGGAACTGCGGACCCATAGCGCCTCTAAAAAGACGCACATATGGAAGAAGAATCTCGTTACAATAGCGGGTCCCGTTGACTGAACCTGCGTCGAAGATGTGAAGGTCTGTACGACTACCAAGTATGATGCCTCCCCAAATGAGAACACCGCCACCTCCATACCTGTCCCTTTCAATGATGTTCGAGGGATGATTGCGGCTTCCCCGCTCTCTCCAGATGAGTATGCGATGAGAATCGCTACTCAGACTGAATCTGCTCTCATCTGTAAAGAGTACTCGTCCCCATTCATTGTCTCTCCAATTCCGGTGTTCCCGGCACCACAGAGAACGCCTTCTCCGATGGGCAGGCGTTAGAGGTACACACTGTACAGGGCATCGTGCAAACAGACCACCACCGTGCAGTCTTCTGGCCACGGTAAAATGCGATATCGGTCGTCCAGTCGCCTGTGTCGTGTGTCTAGCGATTTTCTCTCCCCTGTCCCCTGCTGCCGCCTGTTTCTTCTGGCCTGTAAGGCAATATACCGGTCATCTGCGGGTGTGGTTCCTCGTGGACGACCACTACTATACCCCCGGATAGCTGTTCCTGTAGTTTGAAATTGTCTCCAAAGTCGTGAAATGATGCTGTGAGCAATTCCGAACTCTGCAGCCACACTTGTCACACTGTGGCCTTCCTCCAACTTCCCAATGATTCGACCTCGGGTAAAAGCATCCAGATGTCGTCTAACAGATTGATTATTCACCATTTCTCGCTGAGGCAGCAACTCGGTGTGATTTTAACTGCTATACGGCGTGCAATCTCTTTGCCAGAAATACTGATCGTACACCGACAACATGCTTTATACTACTCAGATACTCCCCCATTACGTCTACCTGCATATCTGCGCATGTGCTACCGTACATCACCTTACTTAATCTCCTGATTGGTCTTTCTGTCCGCTCTGCCTCTTCGTTTAGCTGATATGCTAATTTTTCGACTTCGTCCTTAATTTTTGCACACCAGTGTATGCTGTTGTCAACAAACACATTACTGTGCATCATGCTCAGAATCACAACATTCTTTTTGCTCTTGCACCTATATATTGTGAGTGCTTTGTCTCCATTTTTCAGTGCAAATGATGAATATCGTGCCGAAGAAGTGTCACGAGCAATAGGGGCAATAGGGGGTAATTCTCGCTTATTCAGACGCATCGTTCCAAGAATTGTGGATTTTTTCACAGAAAGTTCATCTGGAAGTTTCACAGAAGTAAAAAAGTTGTCCGTTGTGACATTGAGTCCGGAGTTTAGATGTGGTTGCAGTAATTTGAGAACTACACTTTCCCCAAGTTGTAAATTAGTTGGTCGTTCTTCATCCTTGCAAAGATAAGGATAACCATTCTAAACATATTTGGATTTTACATCAGTTGCTAGCCAGAGAATTTCATGCCAAACGCCAAACTTGTCCGGTTTATTCGCCATGTACTGGATAAATCTACATCTTGATTTACAAGGCAACAATTGTTCATCAACGGTTATTTCTCGTCCAGGATTATAACATAAATAACAGTTTTCCATTAGCTTGTACTAGGTTTCAGAAGCGAGAGCAAATTTGGTAGTGGCGAGACGACAGCTCTGGTGCTTTGGACATCGAATCTGAGATACTGCATTATTTCACGGAACCGATTGCATGACATTGTTTCTTTGAACACAGGTGGTCTCCAATTCTTGTTCCACAAATCATCTGCACAAAATTTTGAATGGCCTAGTGATCCACGGGCATACAGAAAGGCAAAAAAGGGGCATCACGTTTATCCAGAGTAACCTGCCAGTTACTATGATCTTTAAGTTGGCGTCGTGCCTCAGCAACTGTACATGATTGAATGTGTTTCACCATTGATTCACTCACCATCAAACGCCACGCTGAAACAGGATTTGTTCCTATATTGCGATGAGCAAACGACATTATTCCACTTGCAGTGGTTACAATATTTCGAGCTGGCGTGTGACCTGAAATGGAAGCTGTGCTGCTAAGGTTCATAGGGGTCCAGAGAATACCGCTGGATGAGGTATACTTCTCATTACTGCTGCCAGCAACCTTGTTGCCTCGTCCTTGACCACGACCACGTCCACGTCCACGTGAGCTTCCGGCTTCCCGCATAGGGATCACATTTCCAGAATTGTCCTCAACATCACTATCACTGCTTTCAGAGAGCGACGCATTTTGTAAGTTCACATCAACGTTAAAATCTTCATCACTACTATCATCACCACTTATATCTGATTCCAACTGTTTCAAGGAGGGCAAGGCAACTCTTGTGTACTCAATCCTCTTCCTCTCGGCATTGCAATGGAGAGAAGAATATGCTCCGTTCTGGATTTTTTTTTTCTCCCCTGAGTCATCACAATAAGAGCTGCGTGTTTCCCAATGCGCAGAAAATGAAAACGTGGCATCGGGAATTCGAAAACGGACATTCACTTAAAAATATGTCGTTTTTCTTATGAAGGTCAAAATGATCCCAGTTGGCTGTTTTGGGTATATCTGCGATTATTTATTTAAATAATTAACGTAGAAATATGAAAAATTGGCATAGTATGCTTGGAAACATTTTAGAAAAAGTAAAAAAAAACGTGGAAAATTGGAAAAAAGTTTAAAATGACCCCAACGGCACTTCTAGTGTTAAAAATATGAAATTGCAATTCATGAAATAATGAAGCATTTTTGATCTAAAGGGTATCAAAATTTACAAAAAAGTTTTATTTATTTATTTATTTATTTATTTTTTTTTAAATCTTAATTCCTAAACTCAATTCCTAACTAAAATTAGAATATAAAATATGCTTGAAATTTTGACTGTATGGTTAGTTTACAGAAAGTTGGAGTAAATGAGGGATGAGGAACTGCTTAGGAAACTGATAGCCTATGTGTACTTTGCCATAATCAAGTAATATAACCCAACTTGTTCAAAGGTTTCAGATTTTCCTTCCCCTCCATCAGGAGAACGCTAAACTTTTTTCGTGCAGGAAATCTCCATGGCTTAAATGAAATCACTGTGTCCTTTATCTCCTTGAATTTTGCATAAAATTATTTCCAAAAAAGAAGTAATTCTCAGTGTATGAAGTTCCCTATTGCTAAGGAAAGTGTGTTTTTTTGGTCTGATAAATTTTATATCTATAGCTACAGTGTGTTACTATGCAAGACACTTTTCTAAACTGCAACTTCAGCTGCTGAAAAATATGGCCATATTGCTGAGTTGTGAATTTGTAAGTCTGTAATTTGAGGTATGCAGATTTTGAGAAAGCATTTCTGTAGGTTAAAATGAAAAATACATTTTAATGTAGGCATATAAATTAGGCTGAAATGATAGATGTAATTTTTTAGATATTGTTTTTTTGAAATAAATGAGCTCTATGATAAGTTTTGGTAGGTTTGAAAGGAAGAAAGTTCTCGAGGACAGTGTCATAAAATTGTGAGAAATGTATTTAGAAAACTTTTAAAATTCTGCTAACAATTTAGCTGAAAGGGCAGAAATGTGTAATAATAATAATAATAATATGTGTTGTAGGGGAAAGCTGTATAAAAGGAAAAAATATGCTTTAAGTATTTTTTAAAATAATACAGTCAAAAGTCTTTAATCCGGACTCGTCGGGACTTCGGCGATTCCGGATTATAGATCGTCAGTTTAAATCTGGTAAGATGGCATGCAGAAATTATAAAATTAAAAATATGAAACCTTAATTTACGAAATAAAGAACAATTATGATCTAAAGGGTATCAAAAAAAAAAAAAAGGCTTAATATTTATTTGTTTACTTTCTTAAACATTTCTTTCAATGTAAGTTGTTTAAGTTGCTTCCTTTTATGTGATAACACTTTCTCTTTAATTCTATAAACAGACATAATTTCTTGTTCAGTTACAAAATTCCGCTGATCAAGTCCTATAATTGCTGTGTCGAGAATATCGACTAATTTGTTAATCGAAATTTTTTCGTTTTCAATGACCTCTGTGTCACTTTCTTCAGTATCGGAAGCAAATTATAATGACGAGGAATTTGATTTAATTCATATCAAAGACGGAGTACATCGAGATGAAGTACTACATTTAGTAAGGAATTAGAAGCCAAATAAAATACAAACATCTACCCTGAAGATAAGGATAGTGCTGACAGATCAACTTCCAGTTCATTGCGCGCCGCGACGTCCCCCCCCCACACGCAGAGCAGCGTGAAATTGATAAACAGATTTCGGAATGGTTAGAGAAACAAAGGATATGCCTTTATCCATTTTTTTGCAGCAATTCCACTTTTTGTTTGATGGACATCGAAACATACTTTCGCTTTGTGTAGACTCTTTGGCAGCTCCAGCATCGGAAATTCCATTTGGCATAATGGAAAGTTCAAGCTTACTTTTATAAAATTCCTCTAACAGTCTGCAAAAAATAATAAGCCGGATGCATTTCGAAGATTAAGGAACAACGCAATCTGCAACATTAACTTAAATAGATAATTATTAGATAATTTTAGCTTAGCTTATATCTATCGTTGTACATTAAACGCGCATGCATAAACGTATTATGCGTAAAGGTTTTACGCGCATCCGTAAACGCCTATGCGCATGTGTGAACGCATTATGCGTTGACGCATGCGCAGAAAGTTTGTAGCTTTGAGGTTCAAATTATAGATCATTCCGGATTATGGGTGTCCGGATTAACGACTTTTGACTGTATATGATTCTAATTCTTCTTCATGTTGCACAGCAAGCCTTACTCATATTTTTCAATATACTGCATATCTTTTTTCTTTACATATTTTTATAGGAATTTGAAACAAAGGATGAGTCTAATATATTAATCACAGATGAAAAAGGGATGGACGAAGCTGGTTTAGATGATGACTTGGATTTTAGTCTTCCAAAAAAGAAGAAAAAAAAGAAGAAAATCAATATTGATGAACTTGAATCAGAATTTGCTGTTGCTGATGATGAGGATGATGATGACACAAAGTTTGGTAAATTATCTTGTTTTCCTCTTCCTGTAACAGTCACTAAAACTGTGGTTAAAAATTCTTGTAAATTGTCTCATCTTATGGATGTGCTTTCCATGATAGCAAAGTTCTCTTCCCCCCCAATGATAAGGTGCATTGTGAATTTTTTAAATTTTGTTTTTACAAATGAAACTCAAAATTATCTTAAAAATCACATTTGACCCCATGCACCTTTTGAGTTTATTTATTCTAATGCAAATAAGATTGTTATCAGGCTTAAATTTTAATATGCGAAGAGCTGCCATCTGCTGTTAGTTTATTACTTGTTAGATGATAGATGATTTTCCCGTATCATATAATTTGAACTGTAAAAACTGACCTTCGTTACATTCAGTTAAGCACTTGAGGGCTATCTGCATGAAGAGTGGGGTGTCTTCGTGGAGGACTGGGATGTCTACACATAGGAAAATCTATAAAAACCAACCATGCAGCCAGCATGTTTGCCTGGGTTTGACCCTGTGTCAGACTACCTGGACTCAGCTGGCTTAACCACTTGGCCAGTAGTAAATCTTTTCATTACCTTAAATTTAAAAGTATTGCATTTTACACTGAAAAAAGAGAAAATCTTATTTGCTAGTCCCGATTTTCTTAAACTGTGGGTTAAGGGGTCGCAGTATAAGGTATTTCTCGCACTTCCCTAGCGTGCCTTCGTGGTGTAACGGTAGCACGCTGGGCCGGTATTCCAGAGGTCCATGGTTCGATTCCCGGCGAGGGAGGTTGCATATTTTTCATCTTTTCTGCTTCCAATTAACCTAATGACTCTACAAGTGGCGCCCGAACTAAAAGGGTTGTGGATGATGATTCTCCGCACCCAAAATTTGGCGATTAGGTCCCCTAAAACCCTAGTCGCTCTTTAAGAAGGGGAGTATATAAGGTATTTCTCCCACTTTCCTAGTGTGCCTTCGTGGTGTAACGGTAGCACACTGGGCCGGTATTCCAGAGGTCCGTGGTTCGATTCCCGGCGAAGGCGGTTGCATATTTTTCATCTTTTCTGCTTTTAATTAACCTAATGACTCTACAGCAGGGGGTCGTCAAAACTTTTAGCAGTTTTATGTTTCTTTAACTTATTGTAATAATTATAAAATTGCCAGATATTTTCACACAATGTATCTGAAAATAGATAAAGATAAGACAATACATACAAAGAAAAAAACTCAAACGTTTCAACGCATTCTTTGGATAATATCAATATTATTTTTCCTTGCTTTGCACATATGCTGTCATTTCGTCTTTTTTAAAAAGACTTATTTAAAATTTTCACATTGTTCTATGTCATGTCTTAAAATTAGAAATTAAAGTTAATGACATAAAACTGCAATAGTATATTACAGTTCAAGTGAAACATTTGACCAAAAATTTGCTGTGTCAGTTCTTATCTCCTCAGTGTATCATGTTCTCATCATGTTTTGTACTTAAACTGAAAATGTGATTCATAAGTTCTTTGTATTGAAAAAAATTGCAAAATCTAATCAAGGCAGTGGAAACTCTTCTGTTTATTATTAAAGTTCTAATGACTGACAAGAAACAAGGAGTTAGCAGCTGTAGGCAAAATTAGGGCTGAATTAAGACTGCTTGAACTATAGGCTGAAGTCTTCTGTGGGCATGAGCTGCCTTACTCTTTACGAGTCTTCCTTACCAAAATACCAAATGCCCTTTTAAACAATGGAATTTAACAGGACTTTTATTCCTGTTTTAAAAGGTTTTAGTTCCAAAAATTGCTATTTTAAACTAGCTTGTTTTCAACTTGATAGGTGAATATAATATTCTTTTCTGGGAAGAATGGTTAATTGAAAACTGTAATCGAATTGAATCTGCAAAAATCTTATTTATTGCTGATAAAGAAATTATACTTGTTACTTGGTTTTTTTGTTTGCTATATGATTTGGTCATTTTGCAGACAAATTTGAATATTAATTACTAATCACCAGTGAAACTGACACATACTCAAACAATTAATGTAATTGTGTTCTTTACTGTCTTCATAATTAAAATAATAAATAAATTGCAAGTTTGAGGGAAAGTAAGCTATCTTATTGAGCTGGTGTAAAAACATAACTATTGCATAGAAATCTAACTTAGGAAATAATGTCAACTATTATTTCAATTTTCTAAAAGATTTATGGAAGTACATATTAGCATTATATTTGGAAATAAGTGAGAAAGAAATGGGTAAAAACACTTTTTTGTGGATTTTATTCTGTCAGTATATTTTGTAAAATCTTCAGTTTTCTTTATATCTGATTTTCTTGAGACCCAACATGATTTCTGTTTTATTTTTCTGGTAAAATAAATTATTAAACTTGTAATGTTTATTTAAATGGGAAGTGTTTTATGGGTGTTTTTAAGGGAAGAAATTTCCATTTATTTTCAATCATCTGTATTTTACCAGATCACTGGTTAATCGGTGAAATGTATGATAAATTTTAATGAATTGATCTCACAAACCAGAAGGATAAGAAAATTTTCTTTGGAATGGTGGTGTGTAATTGAGAGTAGTTAAATGTGCTAAATGAGAAAAGTGTCCTGTAATTTTTTTGATTGTTACAAAATTTCAGGTTTTTCTTTATTATTTTCATTATTAAAAAATGTTTTGTGGGTTACCCTTTAGTATTATGCTTATTATTTTAATGGTGCATAAAATATGGCCATGTTTTAGTCAAGAAAACTTGAGAATTTGCATTGCAGATAAGTTTACGTATTCCACACAATTTGTAGCTGTAATTTTTGTATCCAAAGGGTTTCTGCCACACAATCCCTAAACTTGCAACTTATTATCCTTCATGTTAATGGCTTGCACCAAAGCAGTTACCCTACTATTCATGATGGGTGGGTGACTCGGGTGACTGTAATAATACTGGCAGTGGTTTGCAATGTGTGTTGATACAATTTATATAAATATAAGCTATAATAAAAGACATATCAACTTAAGTAGATAGCATTGACTGCATGTTAAGGGAAGGAATATTTATTATATGAAGGAATATTTTTATTTCTGTAAAATTTTATGCCTCTCTCAGCATAAAGCAGATATCTCCAAGTAATTATCTATAAAGTAGTGACATGAAGAAAAGCTTTATAAAACTTCATTTTTTGCGTGACATAATTGGAGCCAGCTTTGTTGGCAGTACAGTGTACTTCTCCGACTGAGTAGTAAAATCAATTTAAACAGTGTAAAATGAAAATGTAATACATAACATAAATTATGAAAAAATCATTTATATCTTTATTTAAACCAGGCTTCAAGATGTCCTTAAATTTTCTCATAATAAAATTGCTTTGCACTGAGTATTTTTTTTAAAAATTGATTATTAATTAAAGTAAGCTATTATTATGTTGGATCTATATTGCACTGTTCGTTTCAGTATTGAAATAAAATATAGTGTCAGTGTTTAGCTCAACAGTGTCTGCCCTATCTGGAGAAATCTTATAAAGTGTATGCCCCTAATGCCTGCAGTTTTTCATTGGATTGTCAGATCAGTAGAGCTGTAAGACTGTCTTGTAGGTCAACCTTATATTATCTTGGGAAAATTTTAAAGACAAATTGATTTTCATCTTTTGAGCTTTAAAAATGAAAATTCATTTCTGTGGGGCAGAATGCTAAATATTACAGCATAGCTGCAGGTTGTATTTCTGTGAAAAGTCATTTGAACAAATTAATACTAATTGTAAGATTTGTTAATGTAACTTCAGTTGATTTCAGTATCCAATAACGCCACCAAAGGCTCCGTTTTTAAATAATATTTTCTTAAAAAATTGGTATATAGGAATAGTTCCATTTCAGAGATAATTTGCCAGAGTTGTAACAGTGGGTAATGCACAAAAGCATCTGGAGTTCTACCAAACCTAAGATTTAAAATCTGAGAACCCTTTTTATACTTTTCTCTTGAGCTTTCTTAGTTATCAGTGATGTATGCCATGTCTTATAGTGAAGAGATTTCATATTTAGGCAATTGGTTTGGGGGCGGGTTAGACTCTTTTCAGAAAACCATACTTTTTGAAGAAGTCGAATGAGAATCGGGAGGGGTATGCTAGAGATTAATTAAGTAAGGCCTAACTTAAGTTAAATGAAGGTACATAAAATAATAGAGAATTGTGTTAAATAAAAAAGGATGAAGTGGGGTGCAATAGCATAGATATATGTAACTTAATGTTTGATAACACAATTATTTAGATACTTCTTCAGAAGTTTCAGATAGTATTAAGAGGAAAATATACATTTTATCAGTTACGTTATCTGCAGCCTCAAGTTGTTGCTTTCAATTCTTGAAAATATTAAAAATATTTATAATAGTATTTTTTCCAAATAAATCATTAAGTTCCTTAAATTTGAAGATATTGGCCAATTCAGCTAATCCAGAGCTATTCATACTGTTGTTGTTATTATGGTTGTCAGAATTGTAAGTATTTCGTGAGTTATCATCAGGTATTTTATAACAAGTTGCAAGTGCAGTCTCAGCTGGCTGAGAGGAGAAATTGATGTTAGGATTATGTAGTCTAGCTTGGTTGTTGGTCATCTGAGCGTAGGAAATGGCAGGTTTGACTTTGCTGTCTTTGCAGGGTGCATGTGTCTTGTTTTTGGGGAATTTAATACAACCCCTGTAATTGGCTGAGTGAGGGTCTAGGCAGTTACTGCACATAGAATTTTTATGCATTCCACCTTAGGACAATTGGAGGTTTTGTCGTCGAGAGAACATTTAACATATTTTAGATTCTCGGTGATTCAGTGCTCATCCATTAACCAGTCATAGTAGTTGCAACATGACTGGCAGATTCAACCATTTTATCTCAATTTATCTGTTACAGTTTTCATCTCAGAAAAGTATCCTGTGTATCAGTTTTTCCTTTCATAGAAATTATTTCCAGGAATTCATCAGTTACTTCAAATCCATCAGTAACAACTTCAGTGAAAATGGCAACTTCTGTATTTATGCCAGTCCATGCATCAACTGCTATTCAGAATGCTG